ACTATAAAGAGAGGCTACAGCAATTAGCTCAGCTACAGACATCTAAATTCTAGTTATCCAGAATAGCTGAAATGAATCCCACCGCTGATGTCAGCAAACTGAAAATGGCTTATAATAAAACCCATTTTCTTTTCAATGGCTCAGCTATGACGTGAAAGTCTGGACTATCACTGACACACAAAAAATGAACATTAGCAGGGTCGAAGTCCCCCCTGCCTGGCCGTGAGAGGAGACCCTGCCTGCCGGACCCCGGGGCGGGGGGGTCAGGCTTTCAGCAGAGCACGAGAAAGACTGATTACCTCACCAGGTCATTAGACTGAATCTGTGATCAAAGACAGTGAGTCATTTATGGGTACATTTTTGTTCTATAATACAACTAATTAATTGGCAGAATTTTTGAAAATAAAACATGGCGAATTCCCTTCCCTCTCTCCCAGCTGTTCCCATCACGTCAAGACAGAGTTAGCCAGGACCCGGCCAGTATGCTGACACAGCTCCCCAATTTCCTTTCCCCTGCTCCATTTCCTTTTCAAATTGAAAACTATTAGGACTCTTTAGGCAAATAATAGAAACCTAATGCAGGTGCCTGTTATAAATCGTTCGCTAGTTACTTTTAACCTAATGTCTCCTCAAACATTACTTCGCAGAAGGCAACGAGGGAAAGAAATGCCTCATGAACTCTGACAATCAGTGGGTCAGGAGTTAAGGTCATAATAATGTAGCCCATTTCTTCTTGCTTGTCAAATGACAAACACAGATAGACCCCTGGGTCTTTCATCTGAGATTGACTCCCCTCAGTAAGAACTTGGGTCTTGCCAAGAGCAATCCCCATCTAGGACCATACCCTGCTGTACACCCCGAAGCAGGAAAGGTGGCATACGACTGATGGTGCCTGGTTAGTGCTAGTTTAGGATTTTGACAAACCCAACGCTGCAGCTTTCCTAGGCACAACCTGATGATGTGCCCGGTCTAGATCGGCCACACTTCTGAGGTTAAATTAATCAATGTTTAGGAGGTAGCTCGACATCTGTAAATAGAAATCACTTGAGAAATTTGAAGTATTCTGCAGGCAAAATAAAATAGGAAGTAAACATTAATAACAAGAGTTAGCAATGACTGGGTTTTATGCAAAATATACAAATGTACAGAAGTGCCTATTAATTCTGAATCACTGCAGCAAGTATCTAGGCTCAAGAGCTGGAAATACTGCCTGAAATGCCAATGTGATCAGTCAATGTTAAAATTTGCCTTCATCAACTAGGCATCACGTGTCTTATTCTCAGAGACAAATTCCTCCTATGTTCACTGGAAATAATATCAAGCATTTCACAGGGGATAAACCTCCAACTCTATGTATGTACAAAACAAGGCATCCAAGAGGAGAATCTGTTAGCATATATGCTCCTGAACACATCGGGCAACTGTCAGGTTGTTGGAAGTATTTCTCATCATGCTGGGTGCCCTCACATGCAGCGCTGAATGGTGCTGCGTTGGTCACAGATCACTTTCCCCATTTGGCTCCCCAGTGAGGTGTAAATATTTCAGAGCTAATGCATAAGTCATGTACACCTGTGTTTCTGAGTGCCATAGTAGTGAGACATAACTCCTGGGTATTTCTGAGCATAGAGGAACATGGATTATTTTCTGCCATTGCAAATGGAAAATACATGGAGACTTTTAATGTTTAACACTCAGGCCAGTTCTGCAAATTCTTGGAAACCATTGCCTCCAGCCCCGGGCAACATCTAAGTGATGTTCTGCAAACATGTACAGCTTGCCAGGACTGGCAGACACCCCAGGCTGTGACCACACGTGACTACCTACTGGGGCCCCATATCACTGAAAGCCAACATATGGAATTCATTCACCCCAAAATGAACATCCCAAACACACTTGCTATTACTGTACGGGTGGACATTGTGATAGCAAACATCATCAGAGGCATTCGTATTATTGCTGCATCAATAGGTGTTGGGTGCCTTTGTGTTTAATTTCTTAATAAATCCAGACCTCAGAGAAAAACCTGGGTGCATTCACAATCTTACACTCATGTTAGAAAAGAGAAAGAATTAAGCTTATTTATGGATAAAATTATTGAAATAATAAAAGGCATCACACCGTGCACTGGACTGATTGGGAGGAGTGAGTTAAGGTATAGCTCCTGGAGAGCGGGATGGCTTCCCCAGATGGTTTGCTCTGTATTTGCAGAGCCTAGTGCTTTGACCAAGAGGTGAAGGGGGAGACGGGGAGGCACATTAGGGGTATGCTAATGTAAGGAGAAGGAAGCAGTTGGTCTTACTGCCCTGAGAAGGAGTATTGACAGAGGTCCTCAGGTGCAGGATGGCAGACGGAGAAGCTCATGCGTTTCTGAATGAGGGAGTTGCCTCTTGCTGCTGTACTTCTGCTGCACTGAGGAAAATAAAACTCTGTGTACATTGGAAAATAAATAACAGAACCAAAAAATAGCTGATTCCTACCATGAACCTTCCAGCCAAGGAAAATACTATATACTGTTCAGGAAAGTATACACTACTTTTTGAGATGCTGAGTGGGACTCAAACACTTCTGTTGCAGGCAGTGCCTCATGAAACGTTTGGTGTTAGTCCATGTGAAGGACACAGTTAGCTAGATGGCCATGTGTCTGATCTAAGAGACTTCTTATTTTTCTCATGAAAGTAGTGACCCTAAAGCAAAGTGACATGAAAGCAATTCTAATGTACAGATTATAAATACCTTTCTTTGAAGGGAAGGAGCCATTTGTCCACCTCAACTTTTATCTAGTAATAAAGCTGGAATAAACACAAACATTTTGTAATTGCATTTCTCCACTGCATTCTCCCACATGCTCTCATCTTCACCTCTCAGCTTTTCTAGATTGCCAGCTCTTTTTTTTTTTTTTTTAAATACTCTCAAGCACTCTGTTAGAACCACATTTCTAGTAACAAATAGAGATTAAACTTCTGGCGCAGGCATACAGTGACGTGTACTTTGTCACTAGTACCTAGAACAACTTCTGTCTGAGACTGTCACAACTGGGGGTCAGGTGTGATTAACTGAATTTTTCACGATTATACCTCTCCTACAAATGTCACAATGCTGCAATGCCACAATACTACTACACCTTTTGAGCTACTGATGTAGCTATCATTTTGATATAGGCATGAGATAATTTTGGTATCATTTGCTATTATATACATTAAGCATGGCAACAGTGCTGTAGCATGTCATCCACCACTAGTGGATGTGTGGAGATTATGAAGTATTATTGGTCCTATTTACAAACTAGGACATCACTGGCAGCACCAGCCCTTTATGTTTAAAATATAGAATCATAGAATCATAGAATCATTAAGGTTGGAAGAGACCTCCAAGATCATCGAGTCCAACCGTCAACGCAACACCACCATGCCCACTAAACCATGTCCCTAAGCGCCTCATCTACCCGTCTTTTAAATACTTCCAGGGATGGTGACTCAACCGCTTCCCTGGGCAGCCTGTTCCAATATACTTTCCTTCTCCATTCAGCTGTTTTCTCATATCACACCAATGGATCTTAAGAGGGAACATGGCCCCAAGCATGGTGCTTCCAACTCAGAAAATCTCTGCAATTTCTTGGTTTTTCTACGACTCAATAAGCTTCATCATAAGAAAAAAATAATATTGCTGACTCTATAAAATAATTCCTAAAGCTTTTCTACAGCTAAAGTAACATCATAGAAACAGCATCACCATGGCCCATGGTGAGATTTTTTCCATTCCCCCTATGGGTACTTGCAGACTCAGGCCTGTCTTAGTCAATAACTCATCAGACTTTGAGGGCTTGATTCGGTTGCGTAAATGTAGGCATCCGTTTCCACTGAGTCACCTTATGGATGTCCATGTGAGACATGTGAGGGGGGCACAAAACCCCCTGGACACCCCCACCTTCCTGGAGCAACAACCAGAAGTTAGGCAGGGCACCGAGGGCATCTCAGGTGACACTACATGAGCACAACCACGCCAACATCAGCAGTCTGACTTGCTATACTGTACATGTGTTTGCCTACACACAGTCATGTACAGCTGTCAAACACAGTCTAACACTCTTAAGCTACTTCATCATATCTGGAGGAAGCACCTGTCAGCCAGAAAAGTCCTTTTTCCTAAGAGTTGTTCCTCTGTTCTTTGGTATTCAGAGAGATGTGTCCTGAAATGTGCTGTTCAATAGGTGATTTCAATTTGGGCTCAGTTCATTCTTAACTGTTCTTTGAAATTGTCCACAGGGCTGAATGAGCTACATTTTAGAGCGAAACCCTGTTGAAGTCTGTAAGCATTTTGCCACTGACTCCAAGGAAATCAGGATTTAATCCTAGAAAGTGTCTATCTGGACCAAGAAAGGCATGTCTTTCAGTTGCCATCACCATTATCTGGAGAGGCAATGGAGGAACAAAGCTGCTCTCAGTGATGAATGCTCCATCCCTGGGACCACAGTGGAAAAGGCACTGATGTAGCTGCTCTTGGAGAAACAAAAAGGAAACAGGACTGAAATTCAGATCTGTTTGTTCTCTGAGATTTTTAAAGAGCAGCTCCAGAAGTGTTATTTACATTTTATTTAGTACTTATAGTGCAACAGCAATGAAACCTAACATTACAGGGAGTGTGTGTTCCCACCAGAAAACAGCTCATAAAAACCTGGCCATTTATCAGCACTGCAGGAGATCTTTATTACCTCCCTACAGCATGTGCTTTCCTATGATGCAGTTATTGATTTAACAAGTAAAATTCGTGGCAAGCTTTTATCTTGGAATTAGCAGCAAGACTGAAATAGAGCTCTTATTATTCTAATAACACAGAGATGTGAGATACCTGCATATTCCAAAGGCCATATCATCACCTTTACAAGCATCCCATTAGGACTGTCTGGGCTGCCACATCAAAGCGTGGGCTGTGAGATCTTTAACAATTATGATATCGTACTCACCCCCGGCAATTTCACAACCCTTTTGTTTTTCTTCCTACAGGTTTGGACATCAGGCAAGCTCAGGTTATTGTGCTGTCATCGGGTACCAAATGTATAAATGGGGAATACATTAATGACCAAGGGCTTGCAGTCAACGACTGCCATGCAGAAATTGTGGCAAGAAGGGCATTTGTTCACTTCCTCTACTCACAGCTGGAGCTACACTTAAGGTAACTGAATTCTGTTGATGCTTAGGGAATGTTATATGGCCTTCAGTAGAACAGATCCATCCTCCAGGCATTTGAACTATTTGTTTCTTTATGTTGTTGTTTTTGAGCCTTTGGCTGATGAAGGACCAATACACTGCACAGAAAAAATTGAGAGAGTTAGATAGTCCACAGTGTTGGGTCATGAGCTCCTTTACTTCAGCTGATTTTCTTTCAGTAGCTATTAGATATGACTCATAAAGTTGGGTTTATGAAGCCTGATGATTTTGTACAAATCTTTACGTGCAGGCTTATTAGCATCATTCATTGGCCAGGGACTGAAAGGGGGTCATTTTGCTCACTGCAGACATTTTCCTGTCTTCCTTGCTGCTGCTGAAATATCTCTAGGAAGTGATTTATTGATCATTAATGCCTTCATTGACTCACTAGACAACCAATGAGTGTTAACAGTACAGTAAACTTTGTGCCAAAGTGCAAGATGCTATCACTCACTCCTTCATTATGATGTTTTAAAATGTTACAGCATGTAGAGTCATTACAGAGAAATTATTGTTTCTGTCTTCAGCCAAACCCACCTTGTTACCATTTAAATAGTTAATGGGTCATACACTGCCTGGAAGCTGGTAACAAGTGGGGTACCGCAGAGGTCTATCCTGAGACCTCACTAATCATGACTATCAACAATCTGGAAAAGGCCATGTAGTGCTTGCTTATAAGCTTTGCAGAGGACACCAAATTGTGGGGAGGACCCGTCGATATGCTTGAGGGCTGGACTGCCATCCGGACAGGCTGGAGGACTGGGCCAGCAGGAACTTTGACAGAAAACTCAAAAAGGACAAACAGAAAGTCCCACGCTGAGGAGGAAAGAATGACCTGCAGCAACACAGTCTGTAGCCTTATTGGCTGGGGACCAGCTCTGCTGAAAAGGCACAAAGTTTGTAGGCAAACAGCAAGCTGAACGTGAGACAGTAGTGTGCCTGGCAGCAAAGAGGGTCAACAGGATCCCAGCCTGTATGAAGAGTCAGTCAAGGGATGTGATCATCCCCCACTACTCAGGACTCATTGACCACATCTACAATACCATGTGCAGTTTTGGGTCCCCCAAAACAGGAAGGACATCACCTGAAGAAGGCTCAGCAGGGGCCACCTGGAAGCTCAGGGGCCAGAGCACTTGGCCTGTGCGGAGGGGCTGAGGGAGCTGGGCCTGGTCAGCCTGGAGATGGGATGGCAGACCCAGCAGAGCATATGTCAACAATACAATGGAGCTGGCATCTTTACCAAGGTGAAGAAGATGACAGACAACAGGCACACACTGAAACAAGAGAAGCTCAGTCTGAATATTAGAACACACTGTCCCCATGGAAATAGCCAAGTAGTGGAACAGGTCACCCAGCAGGCTTGTACAGTCTCCCTCCTGTCTTGGAGGTTTTCAAAATCTGAGTGGATAAAACACTGAGCAACCTGGCAAACTGCTCTGAGTGGCAGGTTGTACTAGAGACCTGAGGTCTTTTCCAGCCTGAATTATCCTATGATCCTATGAAAACTGAGCAGAAGTGAAGTTGAGGAGGCATTTATTATATGGAAGGAACCAAGGAATGAAGCAAGGAAAGAAAACGAACAAAAACCCCCTTATCTATAGATCATTCTTCTGCCCTCCATCCTTGCTTGCATTTTCACATAACCTTATCTGACGGCCATTAACTTCAGTGCAAAAACTCCCTTTGACTTCAGAAGGTTTTGCATCAGGTCACAGACACAAGGATTAACCTGAGCAGGATTGTGTGTTCTTGTGAGCACCTATGATACTGTTGCACCAAAGCAATGGTAATAGGAATAATGGTTATTTTCACTTCAGGCTGGGGTTGAAGGCAAGAGAGTATATTGAGTAGATGAGCTTGACTAACAAAGGGGGACAAGAGCCTTGAATGGTTTAATCAAAAACAATATTCTCTCTATTTCAATCTGAATTGCTTTCAAGTTTATATTAAATTATTATGTTTTCAGCAGTGTAGCAGCCTTAGTACTTGCTTTGTGCTATGGTCTCTTGGGAAACAAGTGCTACCAATGTATCTTAAACTATTGTATTGATCCACCTCCCTAACATGTTCAGTCACATTATTATTTTATTTGGATCAATGTTAACAGTCTTTTGTTAAGAGAATCCTCAGTGCAGCACAAGCTCTGTTCGCAATAACTTCAAATCACTCTGTGTTCAGCCAAGAGCAGACACCACTTCTTCCCTGACCAGCACACACGATAAAAATCTCAACCAAAATTGTCAAGGCTAAGCACCTTTGCAAGACAGAGCTGGAGATATTGTCAAATCAGATTTTGCTTTTTTGTATTCCATGGGGAAGCAAACCTGTGTGTTATAATATATTCTTCAATTCTAGTATTTATTGCTACACTCAGTTTTATGCCATCGTTGGGAGCTTTGTCATATGGCGAGCAAATGGGGGTGCTCAAAATGAAATGACAAACACATTTTCTGCACATTGCAGTCAGATTTACCCTTTTTCTCTAGAAAAAGAGAGACAACTCTCACTGGCAGAGAAATCACATGGTGCTACCGCATAGGTAAAAGGACACATTTTTTAGGACAGACATGTTAACTCAGCTCCACTGGGACTCCCTGCACACCAGCTCCTCAGGCCTGGGGGAAACACCAACATGGTTTCTACGTTGTTATGCATTTGCATTAGCCTAGCCCAAATTAAAGTTCTCTCCCAGATCAGGAATCTGTTGTACAAAGTCGTATATGAACTGAGACCAAAAAGATGATTCCCTAACCCAAGAAAAGAATGAAAGCATAGTTCTTGCCTCAAAGAGCTTAAACTTTCCATTCCTCCCTATGGAACAGGCAAGTTTGTTCTGTGGAGAGTATTCCCTATTTTCCACATATCTTCCTCCCGCCAAGTCTACCTGCTCAAATTGATCTCTGCAGCTGGATTTCAAACTTCAGGAACTTCTAGCACAAGAATTATTTTTCTATATAATGCTGTCCTTGAAAAGGAACCACTTTTCCAGAATTTACAAATACTGCCATTGACCTCAGTGAAAGCAAAACATGTACTTGCCTGAGTGTAGCATGAAGGCTTCAAAAAGCAGGGACAAGCAGGCTGGAGAAAGCAAGGGCCAGGATAGATAATTAATGGCCAAAAGAGATGGATGCACTGAGTTGAATTTACTTCTTGACACCTTACTTGAGATGTCTAAAAGTCAGTCAAGTGTGAACTAGATCCCCAAAGCTCCTTTTATCACCAGTGGATGGGCATCTCTGGAGTGGGACTCAGCAGACCTATTCAAGTATCTGTCGTGTGTGAGATGAATTGCCATGTACTGGGGCAAATTTTTTTCCATTTCTATAAAGAGAGCATAGGGTGACTGCTTCAGATATTTAAACTGTAGAACAATCTCATCCATAAGCCAAAGTTGCAGCAATATGTAAATTACATTTTTTTTCCTTCTCTTCATATTGCTAAATGTTAGAGGTGTGACTTTCCTGACTTTTCTTGGGAAAGAGAGTTCTAGAACGGGAACTTTATCCTCTCTAAGAAGCAAGAGTGACAAATACTTCAAAAGGAAACTTTCTTTCAACAATTCATTGTCTAGAGCTTGAGTTAAATAAAAGCTAAAAGCACAACTAAAACCTGGCAGCTTCTAACCAGTCTGATTAAAAGCCTTAGCCCTCCCAGATTTCATTTTTATGACAACCATAATCCTCCAGTTCTCAAGACTTTCACGAAAAAGATGAAAAGACAAAAATTTTCTGATGTACAAAAGAAGGACAAGAAAGACCTTTTGAGAAGCTTTTTCTAAAAATCACTGTCAAAAAGTACACAAATACCATAGTCTGATTCTCTTGCAATGATGGCAGTAAAATTCACATTGATTTCAGTGGCATTATTTATACCAACTGGCCAATAGGGAAGAAAAGAAAATCCAACTCTTCTTTTTTAAAGAAAAATAAAACTAATAGCTTATTCTTAAAACAAATCAGCGCCATAGCAGTCTTACTGCCGTAGTGGCCCTGCAGGTGCCGGAGCGATGATTTTAGCTAAGTTCTTCCAGCGAGTCAGATGTAAACCACTGCTTATTTTATACATACAAACCAAGGAATAGTCTTCATCCAGCCCAGTTAAGGTTTTTTCCAGGAAAACCAGCTGCTTGTTATACATTTACAATTTCTTACGTTTGTCCCACTAGCCCCTCAATGGACACAGCTCCTTCCATTTTAAGCCTCCTGTTAGTTTCTCTAGGATGCCATGCTGTAGCATATAGTACTAGAAACTTCCCGTACATACGTTTACATGATAAAAACAGCTCCTTCACTTCTCTTTTAGAGAGTGAGGCCTTGTTTCAGCAAAACACTTTGCATATATGAAACCATAAGTGCGTGCTTAAATCTTCTTGAAGTCAGCTCAAGACATATGCATGTGTTATGCTAAATAATGAACTTAAGCACAAGATTAGAATTTAGCATATTCTTAAATGCTCCTCTTGAATCAGCCTCAAATCCTAACTCTCCCACAGAAATTCATAACAGGCAAAGGTTTAGGGACAAATTCTGCTCTCTTAGCCAGAATTGGCTCTCTGCCAGCATGTGGAAATGACTCTAATAATGAATTACATTTGTGGGCTCACTGTGGGCTTCTCTCTTCATTGCTTTGTACAGGTGTGTATGGCTGTGCAAAGTGGCATTGCAAAAGACTGCTACTGCAAACTCATTCTCCCCATCACAGCTCAAAATTACTATCCCAGAGGGAAGGCAGAAGTGTACAGGTTGCTGGGGGAGAAGTGACTTTGCAGAAATGCATCTCATGCTCCACTTGGCCCAGTTTTACAAGGTACCAGGGTCCCCCTGAGGTTTGAAATCCCCCAAGCCTCCCATGCACAAGACTTTCTGCAAAGCCACCGTAGATGATATTGCATCCCAAACTCTCTTGCAAAAATATTCTTAGAGTTTTGTTATTATACCTATTCAGCCACTATGCAGGGATGAATCTCATGTTTGAGTTCAGCCCCCAGAAAACCATCCCAAAGGCAGGTCAGGACCATATGTGATACGGAGGATCTCAGCCTCCTGGAGGAAGAGTCAAGCTGCCTTGCCCTCCAGCCCTGCCATCTATTTTTAGAGCAGCTGTCTATCACCCAACCCATCAGCCACACTGGTTCCAGACCCTTCTTGGTACTCAGGGAGAGGGAAGAGAGCAAGGTTAATCAGTGAAAAACAATAACCAGTAAAAACAGGATGGGTGCTGATTACTGTGAACTGAAATCCAGCCCAAAGAATGACTGCTACAACCCTACATAGCAACTGTAGTACTACAAGCTGCCCCCCACTTTGGTGAGGTCTAACATAATAATAGCAGGCATTAGGACTGCACAGCTTTGTATTCTCCCAGCTGATTTTGCAGTGAATTATTTAAAACTAACTGCAATTGCTCTAAAGTCCAAGCAGCAGGACTTACAGGTATTTTATTATTTCAGAGGCTTGCATCAGGGCGATAATGTAATTAGTGCAGTTGGGAAATTCCACCACAGCCAGCAGAAAATGAAGGAGTTGCATGTGGCAGCCCCGGCTCAGCAGCCGGGGTGGCTCCCTGTCCCTGACAGGCGAGCTAATGTGCCTGTAAATTCCTCCTGACAGCAAACGCAATCCCGGCATCAAAAAATGACAAAACACCCAAACCATGGAAGAGTGACAGCCAAACAGCTTCAATAGCACAGAGGCTGCACCGGGAGAAAACAGGCAGAGGCAGCTTGGATTAAAGCCAAGGACTTGCTCCGAGGCTGAGTAGAAAGCACCCTTGTTTACACTAACAGGAGACAGAGAAACCAGCAGAAATCACCTTGGTTAATGGGCTGTCCTATAGTGAATTAAACAGGTAGGATTCTGGCTTATTAAGAGCCTCCTAGGAAAATCATTACCTGCAGGTGCCATTCTGTTCAGAGCTATTCCTGCAAAAAGACCCTTGAGTTTTTGAGGGAAGGACCAGGGCTTCAGAGGGAAAGGAGTCTCATCATAATTTCACTAATCACATTTTCACTTTCAAAATTATAACCATGACCATCACCCAAACGTACGTATTAGAGGCAGCTGTCTGTCAGAGAAATCACCCATGTCTTCCCAAATGTAAATCATCTGAGGAACCACACGGCAGCATAGCCTTAATGCGAGCTATTGCTGCAAACTGCAGGACTGGGAGGGTTTGGCCTCCTGGGCAGCTGTTGCTAATGGAATCTGTGCGCTGTGTCCCCATCTAG